GCAGTGGCACTGGCAATCCTGGTCTGACCTGCTGGTTGCAGTGCTACAACATCAGAAAGATGTTCAGCATCTTGCAAGACCCTTTCTAACACAATCCACAAGAAAGAGTATCAATATATCATCCTCCCAAATCAGCCAATGTTCACACTGGAAGTATATTTGTACTTGGGTCTAATACATTGTTTTGGCTGAGTAATGCATCCTTAAATTGAGGATCTTGTCTGAAGTTCTGAAAAATCTCCAGTCTTTTCCTATTAATCATGAAGAGACAATTCAGAATTTTATGAAGTCTTTTCTTAATTAAGGATAATCATAAGGATATACCAAATTTCAGTAGGTACCGTCAAATACTTCACTCCTTTAAAAAATCCACCACATACAAAACCACACTGTTGTTACCTTTTGTAAAAAACTACAGCATCGCAGCAATATTGCACTACTGTGCAAAGTGAACCTCTTTGGAAACTCGTTGGGGTTGTAAGTGAGGATGCAGAGTAGCCTGTGCTGCAGACTGACAATGTGTGTTTGACTGCCCTTCTCCTCCAAGCAGCCCTGTGAGGTGTGACTGGGAAGGAGCCATGGGCAGGTATGGCAGAGGCTCAATTCCCAACAGCTCAGGGGCTCAGCTCTCCAGTGACAGTTTTCATTCAGCTGCCTGACCTCAGGCACCCTTTCTGAAATGGACACAGGCCAGCTCTTGTCCCTGGACATAGGCTACCCTAAGTTTAAGGCTGCTTCACTGCCCACAAAACTTGCAATTTATGGATCACTTAAAAACCAAAGAAAATCCTCTTGAGATAAACTGTACTCAACCTCAAAGTCAATGCAAAATCTACATAATCAGGAAAGCCTGTCACTATCTTGTTGCTTGAATCAAGCAAAACTTTTAAGCTTTTCTGTTCTGACCAAGATTAGAATGTCCTCCTTTATCAGGATAGAAAAACAAAGTTCAAAATAAGAGTGATTGAATAGCTATGAGCCTGAAGTCACAATCTCCACGATTATGTTCCTAATGCACTTTATAATGGGCTCATAAGTGGCTAGTTGAATCTTTAAGTACTCCAGATTTTTAAATTATGGCAAACAACCCCCTGTTACCTTCTACTTATGATCATACATGCCTACAACACATGACTTAAAGAACTATTAACATAACATCAGCAAGTTTTATATTTAACCATTTCTTAATTATGGCATGAAGTTTCTGATAAGAAATGTAACTAGCTTATCTTGTAGGTGAACAGTTTCTAGTAATTTATTCAGCTACTTCTGAGAACACTATCTAAGTAAGAAATCCTAGTGGTATGAAAACCTCAGTGCAAGTCTGATCCTGGTTAGCAGTTCACAATGAAGACCACCATATTTACTGAAAACAGTGAAGAAACACAAGGAAAATGTTGTAAAATTATGCTCTAAAAGTTCATGCACTGGCATGAGAGAATGGGCTATTGAACCAACTATGGCATTGTGAAGAAATAATGCTTTTTATGAGTATTCCTAAAATAACCCTCCAAAGTGCCTCTTGGAAACTGCTTGTGCTCATGAGTTCACATCTAAAAGCTTGAAAGAACCCTAATTAATTTAACAATTTTGTATCCAACAGGTTAAACACACAGATTTAAGCAAAAGTAAGTAATTTCAAGGGATGGAGTATTACACAAACACAAGGACCTTTCGTGTTGAAGGTATTCAGTTTGACTGGAGTTTCATTTTTAACATGTCCCTTAAGACAGAAAAGCAATTGAAAAAGATGCATTTGAAAACAAATGCTTTGTCTAAGAAGGATCAGCCACTGTTAAAAGTCTGAAGAAGAATGGTTAAGAAAAAACCCTTATCTGCTAGATCACTTACAGAGGTGAAACATTGAAGGTTTACGCGCTGCAAGAGGTTGGAAGTACAGTCTTCCACCATCTGTTAATCAAGAAGTTCTTCAGTCTCCAGTGCCTAAGGTCTCAGACTCCTGAGTTTAACAACTTATTTAGCACAAGGACCCAATCTGTGTAACATGATCCTAAGCCTCCACTACCTCAAGCCTTCTCCTGGCCCTCTCACTCCTTACCTCAGCAAGTCTTGAAGAAATCATTGAGCAATTTGCAGGGATTGGAAGTGAACAACACTGATGACTGCTCTGTGTGTATATTAACTGTGCCAGGACTCATTTCATAAGAATGAGAAGGTTGTCATTTTCAGTTGTGCAGAGTGTTTTGCGCCAGATGACTTCTGCCTTCCTCCCTGGAGACAGCTACTGAGCCAGCTCTGAACAGATGCAGCTCTACAGACCACCTTCTTCTGGAAGCATCAGATAGTCAAAAAACTTGTATGGCCTCCAAACAATTAATTTCTCTCTTTAAAACAAATCAGACAAAAAAGCCCTATCCTCACTAGGAAGCAGCTTCCAGCTCTTTTGTCCTGCTCAGCTTGTGAACCCAGGAGAATCTGCCTCACAGCTGCAGAAGTGGGAGCTCTACCCTCCAGGTTTCAGCAGAGATGATGCTGTGGTACAGTGGCATCAGGCACAACAAGGATATTCCATCACCACTCCCAAAGTGTTTCCCTAACAGGAGGCTGAAGAAAAGCAGGGACAAGACAGTTATTTTTTTCCATAGGCCAACTCATGCTTTCCTTGCTGAAAAAATGTTAGCACAATTAATGTGAAGAGAAATTAGACCAGGGGACAAGAGACATGGGGAAGAGCTGACCCTGTGCCTTCTCTTATTAAACAAAACTCCTACTTTGCGTGCAATCCATAGAATATTAAACTTTACATACTCTGGAGCTGGCTTGAAGCCTAACAAAACTGGAACCACCCCATCCTTATTGGCTTTATATAGATAGGTACAGAAATATACAAAGTTGAGATGATTCATGCTCTCTGGAATGAAGGGCAGCAGCACAACTTTGCTTGAGCAGAGATATTCATGGGAGCAGAAAAAACAGAGTGAGCACTCTGACTGCTGGGAAAAGCTGCTGAAGGTTGTACTTGGTAGCTGTTGAAGAGGAAGAACATTACTGAAAAAGGGGGTAGGGCAGCCCAGAGAAGAGACTGGAAGGTGCCTGGGCCAAAGAAGATCTTTTGAACTTCTAGTCAACAAAAACAGAACTTGTGAAATAAAGCAGTCCAAAATCAAAATATGTAGTTAGCAATTTTAGCAACTCTCGGAGCTTCTCGGCATATGGCACAAAAAAAGGACAAGGCAAAGACAAGGTACAGTATAAAATTTAAAAACCTACTCAATGTACATAAAAATGTAATTACTATGCTTCTTAAAAGGCAAGAAATGCTCTCCTCTTATAGGCTATGCACTCTAAATGAAATGGAAGCTCAAAATACTTTCAGCAATATTGATAGATTCCACATTTTTCTTAAACACACAAGATTCACTTCATGCTTTAATCAAAACATTACTCCAAAAATACACAAATAAACACCCAAGTATTCTAAAAGTATTTGGAAAACATTCTGAAATTTTTAATAATCACCTCAGGATGTCACAGTTCCTAAGGAAAACTTAAGATTATTTTCCAGAAGTTTGATTATGGAAAGAAACTGCTGATATGAAACTAGAGAGCAACTGTAGATTTCAGGGTGCTGATGTAATTTTTCCACAGAAAGCAGCTGAACTCTGTAGAGAGAGAGCAGTGTCAGGTTAGACTGTTATGCTGCTTCATGGACTCAAGCCCCATTGCAGCAGTTTCTGCACTGCACTCATGAGATGGTGCCTCTCACTGCACAGCTGTACAGATGTCAAGCCTTCAGAAGCTGGGATAACCATATGTAAAACTTGTGTGGTTTTGCCACTTGGTATTTTGGGTGTATGCCTTCATTTGTGATAATAAATATCAGGCCACAAACTAATGTCTCCTCAGATATCTAATATGTTTAACACTCAAAACAGCTTGAAAATCTAAACATTTCTGCTGTTAGCTTGGAGTTCTCCTGGAAGAATTATGCTACAATATATACCAGATGAATAGGCTAGGGACAAGACAATGATTGCCAGTTGTTGGGATAGGGATCTCTGCCATTTTGTACCCATAGTTTTTATCCTGCAGTATACACAAAGTTCAAACAATGCCTTTGTTAGGAAAATCTAAATCCTACTGCACATTTCCATACTGAAGACTGAAAATTTCAAAGTTGCTCCTAATCATATCTTGCCTATAGGCAGGTACAAAGAAAGGTTTGTCTGTAAGGTATCTGTTGAAATGGACAGAACAGTACCATGCATTTTAACTATCAAGTAATGGGCCCCAAGGCTTTCTCTTCATGTAGCAAATGGGGAAATGTGATAGCAAAGTTAAACAAATGACACAGCATCAGACAGTCAGTCTGGAACAGCAAAGGCAGCAGAATTCAACCCCAGCCTCTCATTTAGAACACCCTTATCACCATACAATTCCTTCTGCATATGCTTACATAAAATATATTCTTATGTGTGTTAACTTCTGCACCTCTGCAACCAACAACTACTGAAGAGAAATGCTGTAGCTTAAAGAAAGGCAATTGTGTTATCCTGACAGATGACTTCCAAATTTGTTACTGTTATGGCCCACACTAAGAGGAAGGGCTTTGGTTTGACCCTTTGCACACCTGAGGAATTAGCATTAGAGCTGACTAAACCCACAGGATCAATCTCAGAGCTCTGGCTCCTCATTGAGAAAGGCCAGAACACCATAACTCTAAATGAAGCAACACTGAACACCATTTTCTGTGGTATTGTTAGAAAAGCTCTCCCTCCCCAGTGAAATAGCAATGACTGCCCTTTTCTACCAGACTCTTAGCTTATACAATCTCAGACTTGCAATGGAAAAACCATATATATACACATATAAATACTAAACCCTATCAGTAGGGTCAAGTCTCTGTCTTTACAATTCTGTTTCCAGAGTTGTCTCCAATCAAACTAATGCTCCTAGACCAGAACTATCACATGAATGGTTACTTTATTATCTACAGAACCTTTTCTGGCCAAAGTAGTAAAGACTGTATAGGAGTCCAATAACTTTACAAGGTGACAGCATTTCTGTGTTTATTGTAAGCCATTTCTATTGCAAATTGCAACAACTTTTCAAAGTGCAGCAGTGATTTGGAAATGCAGGCACACTAATACATCAATTGCCATGACTAATGTGTAAACTTTTAATGACCTTGGCAAAATCTATCTTTCATTGGGCAAGTGCCACTATTTTGACTGTACAAAATGTTTTGGAAATATGTTGAAAATTATACTTGTTTTGGAAAATATTTCAGGATTTCAGTATAGCAAACGGAGCTATATTAAATAAAAGTTTGACATGGAGGAGAAAACACTCCAAGGTTGTGTAAGTCTTTTTTTTTCCTTTTAAAAGAGGTATCCTCCAAGTGTTGTACATTCATAGAATGCTGACTTTTTATCCAAACAAACTTTAGAAGATAAAACATTATCTTGAATGGTTTTCATTCAGTCACTGTCATCTTCTTGTTTCAGGCCACCTCCTTCTTCACTGTTGCCCTCTCCATCACTTTCCTTGTCCCAGTCCTTCATAGATGCTCCCATCATGAAGTCATCACGCAATATATTCCATTCTGGCCCCTCTTCAGACTTCACTTCACCCTGAATGGTTGAGGGGAAGAGAAGAAAGAACAGAGGAACGAGATAAATATGAAAGGCAGTAAAAGATGCAAGGTCTCCATGCAATCAAAATAACACCTCCTACAATCAGCAGACCGGGGGCCAGGTCTTGGTGCAAATGGTACAGAAACATGCAGAACAACGAAAAATTACTTGATGCTAAAATGCAAACTTGTTTTAACCAACCAATAAAAGAAATATGGAAACACAACAATTATTCCTCACGGATGAAACAGTCAACCCTGGGCATGGCTTCCTTTATTAAAATCTTTCTTGGCAATCAGAATGGATTCATGATATCATTTATTAACCCCCAGGTGCTGCTTCATTAGAACACTTCTTGGCACATTTCTAAAACACAAATATGGATTTAATAAAGGCTTAACCCCCCTCAAATTTAATATTTAACATATTCGGTGATACGTGAACCAAATCCCCTTTATGTGAATTATTACCTCACTACCTGGGCTTGTCATTGGTACAAAGCTGCCTCTAAAAGAAACAAAGTTGATCTACTCTTAGCAAGCCAACAACACCTTACTTCAAATTTCCTACCTCTTGGAAGTGGATAAACTCGAGGCCCACTGCATGGGCTGGTGAATAATAAAGAGAAGGGCCGGGAGTGGAGTTTCAGGTTAGCGCTGGAAGCAGCGGCCGGTCGCGGTTCCCGGAGGTGACAGATGACGTTTGGCAGTGCAACAGCCCCATCCTGTGGCAACACTTTCACACAACAGCTGGAAGCTATGCCTGCCTCCTTTCCGGAGGAAAATACTCAAAGCTGCTCGATGTACTGAGGAAGGATTTATTTCAGTGTTTATGCCTAAGCAGCAAAACATTTCTGAGGAAAAACATGGCTCAGTGTCCAGCAGGCAAGCACAAAACTGTCCTACCAAAGTGGAATTAGGGACACTGAAAATACTTATTTAATTCTGCAAGGTCTTTGAAAATAGATTTAACACTGGCACCCCAGGGAGGCTTTCCCCACTCCCCTGCTCCAAAGAAGAGATCTCAGCATCCTCAGCGGACAAGATTTGCCTCCTGGATGCAAAACCTGCAGTAAATGTATGATCACTGTAGACATCTGTCCACGCCTCTTTTGTGCCATGCATCTAGGAATGTGATACCACTGCATATTTAAGCTGAAGCCTGTGGGAATCAAGATTTGGGATAGAGCAGCACATAGAATTTGATTTCAGGAGAAAAGAGAAATGAAGAATGCAAGTCCATTACTGTAAATAAAACATGTCCTATAACCCCATCAGAAGTTATCTGAGTGCAAAATGCCTGCCAAACAAGGTATGTGTTTTTAATAGGTAATCAAAGCAGAAATGCTACATGTGACTTCTGCAGTTCTTCATCAAACACTGCCCTCACAAAAATAGGATAAGAAGTCTTATCCTTTTCTTCCCAAACGGAATTTCCCAGGGCCCAGCTCAAATAAAGACAAACTCTACAGCTGTTCCTCGAGATGTTTGCACTGGGTTTCAGTTTAGGGTTTGCTTTTGTGCCTTCACAGATGCTCTCATTAATGGCTTCTCCCATCCAACAATTCCCCTTTTCCCAAGGGTAGTGCCTCCTAACCACTCACCACTCTTGCAGCAATTTACTTCAAGTGTTACACCCAGTAAACCTAACATCATCTCAGAAGGGGCAATCAATTACCTGGATTTAAAGAGCTACAGATAAGGTAGGTCCCTAGGCAGACATTAAATTTTTCACAAGATTCATCTGTATTGTTATGATAGTGCAAACACAGGTAGTCTGTTCTGGGATGCAAGGAGAGGATAACTATTGTTTTCCTCCTTTTAAACTGTATTGCAGTTGTACCTGTTTGCCTTTGCAGAGTAAAGACCAGTTAAAAAAAAAAAATCACAAAAATCACCAAGTTCTTTTTTAATCCCAGATCTTTGATAAATCAATATTTGAACAGTGAAATTTAGGAGAGTTGAATCTGAAATACTTAAAAGGAAATATCCCACATTTCTTACAAAACATCTACATTTTTTGTTTTCTGTAATTAACCCAACAGAACTCTTTTTTTTTTCCAGATGTGGAGAACAGGGAATTTTTTTTTTCTTATTTTGTTTTGGTTTTTAACAGCACAGAAGGAGTAGATTATTATCAGCAATGACAGTTGCAAGCTCAGGGTTTGAAAAGCTCAATCCTCAAATTCATCCCAAGCTACTATTCAGCAACCATTAGCCCTTCTTTCTGGCTATGTCAAGTGAACAACAGGACAAAAGCAGGACTTGAACAAAAGAGGGATGCTGATCCTCCATAGCATTACCCATTCTGTAAGGCACCACAAAGGCCTGAATAGAGTTTTACAACAAGCCCAAAGGAGAAAGACAGAGGTAGCATGTTCATGCCTCAAAGATGAAGATTAAATGCTTGAAAGCAAATATTTAATCAATTTTAAGCATGCCTCCAAGTGAAGAAAACGCCTTATTTAGTATCTTCATTCCTAACTCATTTACTACTTCTTTTCCCCTCAGAATAAAAACTCTCCAAATCTACTACATCACAAAACATTCCCAAAGTCTTAAGAAAATATGCAGCAAGAATATTTGTATAATTAACAATTAGTTGAACTGTAACATCACTTCCCAACTTGCTTTATGTAAGAATGTTAATACAGTTGTGTTTTCAATGCCATAATCTAGTTTCATCTAAATAAAACAAAACTGATTCTTGGCACGTGGAAAATAAACCAACTTTCAATCTACACAAATGCTTTTGAACTCCCAGTCAGCTGTTCATGCACATCTCACTACAACACTGAAGTCCCCTTTGAACATCCCCAAATGAAAACAAAGCAGACTATATAAACAACAGAGTGTAATGCTACATAATGTGAATCCTTCAGTAAGGCAAGGAGTGAAAAATTCTCGTGTTGCTTTCTTTCCTCTCCTCTTTTATACATTGGAATTGGGTTTTCTTTGCCAGAAGTGTCTGGCAACCTATTTCAAAAGGTCTGAGAGGCAGCAATTAGTAAAATACCTCAAGAGTCACCGTTGTTTTACTAATTGCTGGTGATGAACTTGTTATCATGAGCTGAAATAAGGCAGAACAAAGCATGCACTGTGGTTACACTAGTGCTGATACTTGCTCTGATGGACTCATAGTCCAGTTGAAAAAGAGTATAAATTTAAAAAAAAACAAAAAAACCTTGCCTACTTGCTAGGCTATCACAGCATTAGCTAAAGCCTCTCACAAGTAGGGCTCTGTAGTGGGGACATACTTCCTGAACTAATTGTGCTTTGAAGACACACTTACTAAAATCTGCACCAGGACAAGAGGAACTGAAATTCTTGGCCAAGTCCTAATAAAACCACCAAACAGACGTCCAAACTAAGCTCCAACTAATCTTAGTTCTGTCACTTAGAACAAGCAGCTGACCCTTCCAAGATCCAGGCTAGAACTGCCTCCTGGATGCTTTTAAAGGAATTGGTCTATGAAAGCCTTGTGGTAGCAACAGCAGCTGTTAAGATCAAGTTTGAAATCTCCATGTTTTTGTTCATTTGTTTACCACCACAAAAAACTGGAGCTACAAAATTTGCTCTTGGTAAATGACAAGACAGTATATTCAACTGAGACCTGCCAAACTCAGCACTGGAGCTGTGGCAGACAGCACTGACACCAAGGTGTGGGATCAATCCTCTCTGCCCCGTCTCAAGCAGGATGATACCTGCCTGAGCTCTTCAGAACCTTACACTCAAGCAGACCAAAGTCCACAGGGCTTACTGGTAAGTAATGGCATTAAAAGATGATATGCCTTGAAATCAGACAAAAGACAGCATTTCACTCCACTGTCCACCTGCTTGGGTCACTTGAGCAACTCCAGCTTCTGCATCACAACAAACACACCTACAGCACTGTGGAGATTCCCCGAGAGCAGTGTCCAGAAGAAGACAGGAATTCCAGGCTTTCCAAAAAGGAACATTTTTCAGACCTAGGGATTACAATCAGCACACTGGACCCCACGCCTTTGCTCTGTGTATAAGATGAAATGCCAGAGCTTGCAGGGGCATCTCTCTTTACCATCACCTACAATAAATGTTTATTTGTACCTGTCAGGAAAGGAATTTCTAACATAAATATCTCTCAAGCAACAAATTTAAGCACTGACAAAACAATTCTAACGTGTCTAATTAATCTGAACTGCCTCCCCAGGTTCCTGTTTTGCTCAGTACAAACATTTAAGACCTTGAGACACAGCAAAGCTTTTGTCATGAGGAAGAAGTTAAAAAGCGTAACTGCCAGAACACATTCTCACATACATCTGACAATTACCTTCCCTGTCAGCCTGCATCTAGCTCTGAATGACTGCTTCTATTCTGGTTCTCATCCCCAAGCAAGTCCATGTAAACTGAGCTCAAAAAAACCCAATCAGGCAGCACAGGCATACAACTGAGCTGTGTTAAATCTGAATTTAAAATAACAATAATAATGATAATAAAATCCCCACTTGGCAGAAGAGGGGGAGGGAATGAAAAGCAAAGAACACCAGCATAATAATTTCTCTTAAGTTAGTTTTCAGCAATATGCGAGCTCACAGGCTAAGAAAATAAATTTCCTCCAGGCTGGGAAGAAATGAAAAAAACTGCAGCCAAAGTATCTAAAGCAGAAATGTAAGCAGAAAACAAAATGTAATGATTTTTAACAGGAAAATGATACTTGGGTTTGATCACTAGTGCTGCAGGCAACTTCATCTGATTTGAATTGCAGCAAGACTCTAAGAAAGGCTCCTATGTAAGCCTGATCCCAAACAGCCAAAACCCCACAAATGTGCAAACTGAGAATACAACCTACACTGATATTATCTTGAACTTCTGAGCTGAATTCTCACAGCAACTCACTCTGGGAAGCATTTTCAGGTTGCAGAACATGTGAGCTGCACAACAGAAATGTATTCTGCTGCAGTTTAATTCTGCACAATCATTTATTCCTTAGGGTGAGAGTTATTCAATGCCCATCTGCAT